TTACAGCACTGCAGAGTTTCTTCGGCGGAGGAAAGCGATGCTGTGGCTGCAGCGAAGCAGACCTCACCAACTGTGATGATCAACCCCCCCCCCTCCGCCACGAGAAAGGGAGATAAAGTGTGTTAGTGGAGGACAGACTTTGCTATTTCAATCATCGTCAGTTCCTGTTGCCCGTATGTGCTTTCCTACATCGTTTGATACAGGGGAAGTTACACGCGCGTGCATTCCTCCCCCATCATTGGCGGAGGTGCCCGAGACAAGCAGTCAAAGCCTCTCACTACTTGCACGCGCAGGACAGCCGACGCTCGCGCCGCTCTCACACTGCAGACGCACGAGTTTCTGATGCTGGCCGATTAGTTGGCCTGCTTACGTGCGCGCACATTTAGCACATCTCCGAATTGGTCTGTTTAGGGTACATAATTGTATATTTTATTTAACAGGCGCTATTATCCAAAGAGCGACCGTCCCCGAAGCAACTGGAGGGTAAGGGCCTGGCTTAGGGGCCCCAACGGTGAAATCACTCTGCCCACCCATGCAACGGAATTAAAAGCTCACGAATGTTTCTTGAAAACACGCCTAAAATGTTACACACGTCGGTGTCTTAACCCACTGACAAAAAAAAAAAAACCTCACCACGACCCCTTGCGAGTAACACCGGGTAGCAGGGATACCGAACGCCAAGCACGCCTTTTTTTGAACAGGCCCCGGTCGGGTAGCTGGCCCGCTATTGTGGAGAAAGTGACACACGAAAATAACAGGGTTGTTTTGTTGTACAATTCATAACTTGTTCGACTGGCATGGATTGCCGTTAGATTTGTCGTTATATATAATCTAATACCCACGGCCTTTAACGACCTCGACAACACCCTTCTTTCTGACTGCAACCAAACAAACCTCAAGGCCGACACGGACAGACACAATTAACCGGGCCTAGCCAAACATGGGTGAAAGTGTCACCACCACCCCCCATCTAATCTATTCGTTTGGGGGACCGTGTCACGGGCCCAAAGGAAACCGGCCTTTTCTCAAGCGGGGTTTGCGGTTGAGATACGATTTATGATCATAATTAATAATTAACATTAAAGGCATATACCTGCGCAGTCACACGTTCAGGATCACTGTGAGGAATATTTACTAGACTTAATACGAGGTCACTTTTGCAGTCAGCGCCTTACAAGGCCTAACGAGAGACTACACGCCGCTGACAAGGCCGCTATCGCTTGTGCATTATAATTGGCATCTAAATTAATTCTCAAACGAAAAGTGGGAAAACGTGTGGATTTTTTCCCCACAGAAAAATATAAAAGAAATATCTCGCCGTCTAAGCATTTGATTTGCACAATTTGTCATTTTGAGCGTCGGACACCGAAAGTTTGCAAAACACCGATGAATGCAACAGTAAATAGCAAATAGCTTGACGATGCAAATTGTAATCGCGTGATTTACACAAACAATATTACCGTAACCGAATATTAACGAAAAAAGCTTCTTTAAACCTTACCTGTGGCAGAATGGCCAAAGCGCACCCAACAGCAGCCCCGGGTCATCCGTAATACGCTGATTGCGGCCCCCTTAGTGGGCGTTCCGCATTTCGGCGTGACGTTAACTGCCGCTCTCCGAAAGCGTGGACTCGTCCAGCTGCTTTTGCCAAATGAACCGATAACACGAATGATAAAAACGAGTTTCAGGCAACACAGACAACTCCAATACTCTCAGCAGGCAGGCAGGCAGGCAGATTGATGAGATTGATTGATTGATTGATTGATTGATAGATAGATAGATAGATAGATAGATAGATAGATAGATAGATAGATAGATAGATAGATAGACAGACAGACGTGCAGACAATGACACGGGGAGAAGAGACCTGGAGACAAGAGAGAGGTGTGGGGGAGGGGAAAGGTGTTAAGTCAAGTCACCTCAGCTTTTTCCAGTACGCTGCATACGGTGATGCGAAATAACGTTCCCGGACCGCGGTGCTACATGTAGTGGCAATCAAAATTAGAGAACAAGAGACGTTTTTGTAATACACAAAGTCACAGCTTATCTGAATTCAAAGTTATGAATAGAATAGAAGATATATATTTTAATCATATTTCAACAGTGAAAGCTATGCCACATCACAAAATAAACTGTTTAAACAAGAAATTTCAAGAAGGCATGTGATAAAAATTAGAGAACGATTTGTTAGACTTGACAGTTTTTGGATCTAATCTGAATTATCTTGAAATATCTGGCAACCCAATCTGTTTGCATGGACATACAGTACAAGACTAGTGCAGGGGAGAGACACACTGACACACAATGTAAAAGTAAACAGTGATGTAATGTTTATAATTGGTGATGATGGAAGCAGTGGAGCCACATAAGTGACCAATGCTCATTATTTGGCATTTTTTCTGATATTTATTTATTATTTACTTCTACATGCCACTTGTGAGTAAAGTGAGGTAACTTGACTTGACACCTCTGTCTGTCTGTCTGTCTGTCTGTCTATCTGTCTGCTAAGACTATTGGAGCCTTCTGTGTTGCCTGAAACTCATTTGTATCATTCGTGTTATTGATTGATTTGGCAAACAGCAGCTGGACGAGTCCTCGCTTCCGGAGAGTGGGAGTTAATGTCACCTAAGGGCTTGGATCACAGGCTGCAGGACCTGAACTGGCAGTGCCTTCATGGTAAGCTGCCAGTCAGGGACGTCTTACACAGACATAAGCTGACCAGACACCCCCGCTGCCCCAGGCCTGAGTGCAGGGAGGATGAGACCGTCAGGCAGGTGTTTTGGGACTGTGGGCATGCACAGAGAGTTTGGGGGTTGGTAGCGGGCCTGTGTGGACGTGTAGACCCACAGCCCGGTCTGACCTACGACAAGGTGTTGAAGGGGTGGGACCCCAACCTCCATAACCCCTTCGGCCCCTCGATGTGGCTGCTGGTCAGCATTACCAAGCAAGAGCTGTGGAATGCCAGGACCGTGCTCATCCGCAGAGGGGTTCATCTGGAGGCACAAGGGGTATTTTGCAAAATTCGGGCCGACTTGGGGTTCAGGATGGAGACTGACGTCACCCAGTAGGGCTACCACGGGGCCAAGGAGAGGTGGAAGGGCCTATTCTGGCTTTAACCCCGGTTCGTTTAGGTGGGGACACTCCATCCTACAGGGTGGACATGACGCACCTTTCTGAAGCACACAGGAGGTACTTCGGGTTTTAGGTAAGTGTGCTGTGTTTTTTGTGCGTTTGTTGTATTTGAAATATTTTAACTAATAGCATGTACAGAATTTATTGAGTGCGACTTTGGTTGATCACTTTTAGCACTTATTTATTAATATTAACTGTATTTATTAACATTTTAGTTCTTTGTTGGGCTGTACATTGTGTGATTGACCATGTTTTATTCCCGAGGTGCTGATTTTACGTGTTTTAGGAATGTGTATGACCCTGTTACAGCCTGACCCTTGTGCAGAGGTCGGAGGTCGGCGGGTCTGTTCCTCTTTTAAAGGTTTTAGTTTTTAATAGCCGGCATTTAGCATTTAAGGTGACATTTTATTTGTTTAAATGGCCATTTAATTGAAATTTTAGAACTATTAGAGTTCTGCAGATGTTTTAATACCGTTTTAAAAACACCTTGTGTGGTATGTTATGTTTGATTAGCACTGTGTTGAGAATGTTTCAGCCTTTTAGTACGTTCATATTTTTACATGCAAGTACAATACAGTCATGAGTACTCCTGTATATGTGCTAATTGGTGGACTTAAAAGGCTGTTTAAATATAATATGGTGCTAATTTGTGTATTTATGCTTTGGGTATTTGTGTGATTTTAATTAAGGTTACGGTTAAGGTTACTTTATTGTCATTGACGGCTTTATACATGTACAAAGTGTGATGAGATGTTTCCCCATGGCCCTGGTGCAACATCTAGTAACACTGAACATCACATTCAACAGGGCAAAAGGTGCAAACAGGCAACACAATAAAGTGCAAAAGGTGCGATAACACTACAGTGCACAAGTTACAATGAATAGACGGAACAATAAATGGACAATAAATGTACTGTACACAACACTCCAGTATTATTTGAGTGGGGAGCCTTGGTGACTGGAATTGCACATGGTTATTATATTATATTGCACGGTACTATTGCACATGGTTACTATATTGTACAGAGCAAACATGAAAATGCAGGTATGAGGTATTTCGGAAGAATTATGATCTAAACTTAAAGTGCGTTCAGAGCCCTGATGGCTTGTGGAACGAAGTTGTTACACAGTCTCGTGGAGGCAGAACGGAAGCTACGATACCGTTTAGCAGATGGTAAGAGTGAAAAAAGTCCATGTAATGCAGGGCCCCCCTTTTCTAGAGAGGAACATTATTGAGCCCCCCCTTTCAAACTACACAGGTTTAGATTCAAACTTCATCTGAAATACAACTCCCTTTTCTAATTGAGCGAAACAAATGCAATTACAAAATACAAATGGTGCAATTTCACCACTGTGGGAGAAAAAAGAGCAATCAATTAAAAATTAAAGTCCAGCATAAGTTTGAAATTATGCAAATGAAGATTTAACATTCCTGTTAATATTCATTGGCGTACACAAATTAAAATTTGTCTTACTATTACCGCATTTTGTTTAGGTAGGTTTCAGCCTATACTAAAGCACAAAACAACACTAAATCATACCCATTAATTGATAGTCTCCCTGCACTTCATGTAGAAAATTTTTCATTATATGGTTAGATGATATGCATGATATGGTTTTGTCCGGCGCTGCAAAACGTCGTCACGCGTCACCATGTCACATGGTACAAAAACCTTGCAAGATATTGTCATTGTTGTATTATTGTTATAATAATAAATAAATAAATAAAATAAATTTAAAAAAAAACCTTGCAAGAGCAAGACGACGATAGATCGTACAGCCCCTCTCAGCCGGCTGAACAAACTGGAATAGCCTCCGTGACAACACAACTTTGCCCTTATTGGCTGAAGAACGTGACGTTTGTATCCCAGGAAGTTCCGATGCGTTATCTGCTATTAAGCAGTGAGAATTGGTTTTTAGTTAATTTACCTGGTAAAATAAAATTTAAATAAATTACATAAATGCTCTAATAGTACACGTAAGTTAGTGGTTTATTTATTGTTAGTTACTGAAATGTTGCGCTGCTTTATTTGTTTAATCGTCCAGTCTGTGAAGAGATTATTTTAGGGTGGCACATGACCCTGAGGCTATCCCATTGGTGCGCCCCCCAGTTTGGGGACCACTGATGTAATGAATGGTAGTGATCCTTCACTATGTTTCTGGCACTGTTGTAGCAGCGGGTCTTGAAAATGTCTTTCAAGTGAGGTATCGGGGCACACCGATAACCTTCTCAGCTGCTTTCACTATCTGCTGCAGGTAGTTCCGGTCCGAAGCCTTGTAGTTCCCGTACCAGACAGTGATGCAGCTGGAGAGAAGGCTTTCGATGGTGCTGGTGTAGAATGTCTTGAGGATCTGTGGTGGGAGGAGCGCTCTTTTCAGTCTTCACAGAAAGCGCAGGTATTTGTGTGATTGTAATTGTAGTGCACAGCTGCTTAATAAAATATTGGTGGAAAAAATCTGTTCTTATCAGTTTAAGTCGTCAAGTCAAGTCAAGTTTATTTATATAGCACATTTACAGCAGTTGTAAAACTGCACCAAAATGCTGTACAAGGATCATAAAAGAATCATAAAAAAAAAAAAAAAAAAAAAGTTTAATATCTGATACGTCCCCTATCTGGGGACCATATATTATATTGATTTTTGGAACAGGGAGATGGAATAGGGGCTTGCTCCGTCCACTCCACGCATCGACCTGGTATTGCAGTATCTCCAGGAACGGTGCACCCCCTATCGGGGAAAGTTGTTGTGGAAGAGTAGATGTGGCGGGTTACTGTTTCTGTGAGCAGCGATCCCTTTATTACTAGCGGCTGTTATGGCAAGCCGTTTTAACATTTAATTGCTAGACTGGATATGTATTGCAGATATCCGTAATTCAATTCTTCCTAGTCAAAAAGAGCATTTCAGATATCCACAATGACATTCTTCCTATCCACAATTGTCATTTCAGATATCCACATCATCATTCTTCCTAGGAGAAATTACGTCACTTTTATGGCAAGCCGTTTTAACATTTAATCAAGTCACACTCCTATCCGTAATTACATTTTATATATGCATAATATCATTTCTCCTAGCCAAAATTATATTCTTACTAGTCAGAATGGCAAGTACAGATATCCACAATTGCATTCTTATTAGTAGAAAATGTATTTCAAGATATCTAAAACTTTGTTTCTCCTAGTCAAAATTCCATTTAAGATATCTTTAAATCTTTTTGATTTAATCGCTAGACTGGTTATGTATATTGCAGATATCCACAATGACATTCTCCCTATCCACAATTGCCATTTCAGATATCCACAATGTCATTCTTCCTAGGAGAAATTACCTCACTTTTGCCATTCATGTCTATTGGGCTTTCAATTTCAGATATCCACAATTACATTTCAGATATCCAGAATTAACCTTCTGGATATCCGAAATTGAATTCTTGATAGGAAAAATGACGCGTCTTCCGCCAGTATGTGTCACGATCCGCTCCGTCCGATCCTGATGTGTGCCACGCCCACCTCGTTACCTCGTGTTCATCCCCGATTATGATCACCTGTGTCATGTTATTTCTGGATAGTCTTTTGTATTTAGTCCGAGTCTCAGTCTGTCTTCCCCAGATCCGTCATTGTATTGTCTTGATGTTCGTGCCTGTCAGCCATCCCATTACTATTAAACCCTGTTTGTCCGACGTCACGGCTCCGCTTGCCTGCTTTCTTGCTCGCCTGCCCCACAGCCCTGACAGAATGACGGATCTCGTCGAAAACGCACCACGGCAGATCGAGGACCAACGCCTCGGTCTGCTGCAGGAGGTGCTATACTGGCTAAATCAACCAGAGGTCCAGGAGGACCCTGTAGCCCGGGATTTAGCCAGCCAGAGTGGGAACCTCCTGAGTGAGGTAAACCCGCCCAGAGACGCGTACCCTTTGCGGGAGGTACGCAAAAATCTTCGGCAGCTGATGGAGAGGGTAACGGAGGTGAGGACCCAGCTGGTCGCGGTGTCTGTCATCTCCGACACAACCCAGTCCCCGCCGACAGCATTAAACCGGAGAAAAAAGAAGAAAAGGAGAGAACAGAGACAGGAAGAGAAACCGGCGATCTTTCGGAGGGCTTGCTCTCTCTCCGCTGCCGTCACCCCGGGCGTCATCTCCGCTTCCAGTTTGCCGGTACCCCTCGCCAGCCCCGCCGATGAGATGCCGCCACCCTTGGCGGCTTATGACTTTCGGACAGCACGCCTGTTTAATAGGGGGGCCAGGGCCGTTTGGGACGCCATTCCCCGGATCCCCAAGGCCCTTAAAGGGGCAGCGCCTGCACTCCTGGCGGCTGTTATGGACCTGCCTGCTCCAGAACTGCCAGCAGCACCGGCTGCTGCTGCCGGCGCTCTGCCCGCGGCACCGCCTGCTGCTGCCGGCCCTCTGCCCGCGGCACCACCTGCTGCTGCCGGCCCTCTGCCCGCGGCACCGCCTGCTGCTGCCGGCGCTCTGCCGGCGGCACCGCCTGCTGCTGCCGGCGCTCTGCCCGCGGCACCGCCTGCTGCTGCTGCTGCTCTGCCCGCGACACCGCCTGCAGCCGCTGCTGCTGCTGCTGCCGCCGCCTCTCTACCCGCGACACCGCCTGCAGCCGCAGCCGCTGCCGCCTCTCTGCCCGCGACAATCCCTGCTACAGCTGCCGTCGCCGCTACGCCCGGGGTACCTGCTGAGGGGCACCCTGTTGGCCACGTGACGGCGGCGCTTGCTGAGGCGCCCCCTGCTGGCCACGTGACGGCGGCGCTTGCTGAGGCGCCCCCTGCTGGCCACGTGATGGCGGCGCCCGCTGATGCCTGAGATGCTTGCGGAGGCGTCCCCTGTTGGCCACACGTCCTCTCTGCCCGCGGCCCTGCCTGAGGCCGCCGTTCCTGTCCTGCCCACGGCACTGCCTGAGGCCGCAGTTCCTGTCCTGCCCACGGCACTGCCTGAGGCCGCAGTTCCTGTCCTGCCCACGGCACTGCCTGAGGCCGCCGCTCTGCCCGTCCAGCCCTGCTCGTCGGTCCAGCCTGCTCCTAACCCGCCTGTTCCCGTCCTGCCCGCAGCTCCAGCTGCACCGCCTCCTGCAGCTGCCACTGCTCTGCCTGCGGCACTGCCCGAGGTGGCCGCGGATGCGCCCCCTGCTGGCCGCGTGATGGCGGCGCCCACTGGGTCGCCCCCTGCTGGCCAGGAACTGAGGGTGCCCGCTGCAGCTCCGCCTGCAGCGGAGGAAGCCGCTCTGCCCGTGGCGCCCCCTGCTGGCCATAGGAAGGCGGTGCCCACCGAGGCGCTCCCTGTTGGCCACACGCCCGAAGCGCCTGCTGAGGCGTCCCCACCTGATCTGCCTGTCTTGCCGGCACCTGATCTGCTTGTCTCGCCTGTCCTGCCTGAGGCCCTCCTGCCTGAAGCTACCGCGTCTCCTGCTACTGCACACGAGGCTTCTGTTGGAGCAGTGGCTGCTGCGGCGCCCCCTGCTGGCCCCGCGCACGAGGTGCCTGCTGAGGCGCCCCCTGGTGGCTGCCCGTCCGCCCCGTCCAGCCCTATTCGTTGGTCCTGCCTGCTCCGGACCCGCCTGTTCCCGTCCTGACTGCGGCCCTGGTTCCTTCGTTCACTCCTGGCCCTTTTGTTCCGCCTGTCGGTGTTCCCCTGGTGTCTCCCTTCTTGGTCTGCCTGTCTGCGTTCCCTGTTTTGTATCAGGTCTTGTCGTTCTTCCTGTCTTTGTTCCAGTTCTGTGTCTCTGTCCTGTTTCCCTGGTGTCGTTGATGGTTTTGTTCTTGTTTTCCAGCTCCTGTTTCCCCGGTTTGGTCTCCTTCGTTGCCTCCCTTTGGGGCAAGCCTAGAGTGCGCGCCTTTGGGGGGGGGGGTTCTGTCACGATCCGCTCCGTCCGATCCTGATGTGTGCAGTATACAGTATAACATTGTTATGTAGCAAATTAGACAGCATTTATAATTCAAAAATCAGTAGTCCTGTTGTCAAATAAATTGAATGACAGAATTTGATTATCCAAATATACTTAAGATAACAAACATTACAACTGTCTTAAATGCCATGAACTAAAGCACAAGTAAATCATGTAAAGAGATTAAAAGAAGTCACGTGATTAAGCAGATGTAATTAGGGTCGTGTTCTTCACCATCATTGCAAGCAACAGATACCGCCTCTGTAAACAAAGACAATTGCTTGAACAATTATGTTCTTATGTTCTTAATTAAAACACATTACAGTCGTCCCTCG